CCCTTCTCACCGCCAGCAAACGACTCCCGGTGCCCACCACCGTCCGCATAACATCCCCCACTGGTGTTCCCAGCACCACTGTCCTCACCACCGCTGTCCCCACTGGTTCCACCACCGCCCTTACTGTCCCCACCAGTGGCCCCACCACTGTCGCACTGTCCCCGCTGTCCCCAGAACTGTTCCCACCACGGTTCCACTCTCCCCACTGTCTCCACGGCCCCAACCACTGCCCGACTATCCCCACTGTCCCCACTGTCCCAATGACTCCTCCGCTGTCCCACTGAGCTGTCCCACTGTTCCCACCACTGTCCCCACTGTCCCCACCACTGTCCCCACTGTACCTTTGTCCCATTGTCCCACCGCCGTCCTCGCCACCGCCTTCACCACTGTCCCCACCACCATTGTACCCTCCACTGTCCCACTGTTTCCACCTCATTCCCATTGTCCCCACACCACTGTCCCCACCACCGCCGTCACCACCACTGTCCACTGTGCCCCCCTGTTCCCACCATTGTCCCCACCACTGTCCCCACCACTACCGTCCCCACCACTGTCCCACTGTCCCACTGTCCCCACCACTGTCCCGCTATCCCCTCACCACTGTCCCCACCAACACCGTCCCCACCACTGTCCGCACCCCCACTCAGTTTTCGAGGGGGGGGGGGGGGGTTCGAACCGGTAGTGACCCCCGAGTTTTTCAAGGGTGGGATGGGGGCGGGCCTCCTCCGAGTTTCTTGTAAGTGATCCCCCCCCTTTGTCTGATGAGCTGGGGGGGGGGGGGAGGGGTTTCGAACCGTAGTGGAACCCCCCCGGTTTTCCGGACGGGGGGGGGGGGTGGGGTTCGAACCGGTAGTGACCCCCCCCGGTTTTCCGCCAGCAGCGGTAGAACACGCTCTTTCAAGTATTCCGTGGGTCCCGAAATCGCTGTATAAGTATTGCGTGGACCCCGGAATCGCTATGTACGTACTGCATGGACCCCGACCCGCCGTGAGGAGAAGAAGAAGGAGGAGGAGGAGGAGGAGGAGAAGAAGGTGGAGAAGCAAGAACAGGAGGAGGAAGAGGAGAAGAAGGAGGAGGAGAAGGAAAAGGAGAAGGAGAAGGAGGAAGAGGAGGAGGAGGAGCAGGAGGAAGAGGAGGAGGAGAAGGAGGAGGAGACTAGATGGCTTCGAGGACCCGTCCGAAGGCATTTTTTGGAGGATGTCTGAAGCGAAACGCTGACTTGTCAACGAACATGTTCAAAACATTAGGTTTTTCAATATTTTCGCTTCTTGGGCCATCTTGGGGGTCATCCGAGATCGCTCCGAAAAGATGCCTTACAAGAGCTCTGTCGGCATCCCATTTGTTCGAGGATGTCTCGGGCGAAATGCCCATTTTCGAGGCCCCGAAAATTAGGCGAGCGATTTCGAGATCCAGATTTTTGGAGGATGTCTCGAGCGAAACGCCCATGTTTAGCAAACGATGGCGTCCGTAACCCGCCTGGCCGTGGAACGCTACCTAGATCAAGCGTGGCCGTTTTAACCCGCGTGGTCGGTTTAACCCGCATGGCCATTTGAACCCGCCTGGCCGTGGAACGCTACCTAGATCAAGCGTGGCCGTTTTAACCCGCGTGGCCGTTTTAACCTGCGTGGCCGTTTCAACCCGCATGGCCGTTTTAACCCGCCTGGCCATGGAACGCTACCTAGATCCAGCGTGTCCGTTTTAACCCGCATGGCCGTTTTAATCCGCGTGGCCGTTTTAACCCGCGTGCCGTTTTAACCCGCCCGTCCGTGGAACGCTACCTAGATCATATTCGACCGAGTTGGCGATCGATCTAAACAATTCCAGTTTCCGAGGATGTCTCGAGCGAGAGCCTCATTTTGAACTGAAGACGTCTCGAAGCAGCTCGTCCACTATTCCATGTTTCCGAGGATGTCTCGAGCGAGAGCCTCATGTTTAAGATTTCGACGAATTCGCGAGATCCCTGGAGATCTCACTTTTTCGAGGATGTCTCGAGCGGGGGCCTCACTTTTGACGTAAAGCGTCTTAAAACAAGTCCTTCAAGATCCCACTGTTTATATGATGTCTCGAGCGAAACGGCCATAAAGGGGGGAACCTTTCCGGACAAGAACGGGAAGCGCCGCTTCTCTTAGCTTGCGTGCGCAAGCACACGGATTCCCACGTAAAGCGGAATGCGTCCCGATGGTTGCCTGCGTTTGCTTTGGTCAGGTGTTGCGCGTGGCGTGTGCACGTAGCGTGTGTGTTTGAGCGTGTTTGTGTGTGTGTCTGTGCGTGTGTGTGCGTGCGTGCGTGCGTGCGTGCGTGTGTGTGTGTGTGTGTGTGTGTGTGTGTGAGTGTGTGTGTGTGTGTGTGCGTGCGAGCGTGCGTCTGCGTGTGTGCGTGTGTGCGTGTGCTGTGATGATGACGACGATGATGATGATAGTGGTGATGACGAGGATGATGATGAAGACGATGAAGGGTATCTTGGGCCGTCTTGCAGTGCTCTTGGAGATTCTGGGAGCCCTCTTGAGCCTCTCTTGGACCGTCTTGGTGATGATCATGATGATGATCATGATGATAATGGCGATGATGATGATGATGATGATGATGATGATGATGATGATGATGATGATGATGATGATGATGATGATGATGATAGGGTATCTTGGACCGTCTTGGAGCATTCTTGGACAGTCTTGGAGCCCTCTTGAGCTCTTCTCGGACCGACTCGTTTCGCAAACTCCCTGGATATCACCGTTTTTCGAGGATGTCTCGAGCGAGAGCCCCATTTTGAACTGAAGACGTCTCGAAGCAGCTCGTCCACTATCCCATGTGTTCGAGGATGTCTCGAGCGAGAGCTCCTTTTTTAAGATTTCGACGAATTCGCGAGATCCTTGGAGATCTCACTTTTTCGAGGATGTCTCGAGCGGGAGCCTCACTTTTGACGCAACGCGTCTTAAAACAAGTCCTTCAAGATCCCACTTGTTCGAGGATGTCTCGAACGAAACGGCCATAAAGGGGGGAATCCGCCATTCGAGGCACACCGCCCGACCCCAAGTTCGTGGTCCCTCGCGTCTCTGTTCTTGATTAGCTCGTAGGAAGCATGGCCTAAGAAACTCCCACCACCTTCTCGTTCCGAGAAGGCGCTTCCCGCCATCCGCCATTCGAGGCACACCGCCCGACCCCGAGCCCGTGGTCCCTCGCGTCTCTGTTCTTTATTAGCTCGTAGGGAGCATGGCCTAAGAAACTCCCACCACCTTCTCGTTCCGAGAAGGCGCTTCCCGTCATCCGCCAAGCGATGGACCCCGCCCAATCGCGAGCCCGTTGTCCCTCGCGTCTCTGTTCCTTGAATATACTGAGGAACGCTTCCTCTATAAACCTCCCACCACCTTCTGGTTCCGAGAAGGCGCTTCCCGTCATCCGCCAAGCAAAAAGCATTTGCAGCGGCGCGGCCATGGTCCTTCGCGTCTTGGTTTTCTTATTATTAGAAAGCTTGGCTTAACACACTGCCAACACCTTCTCGTTCCGAGAAGGCGCTTCCCGTAACCCGAGGGAAAGCAACAACAACAAGGAGAACCCGCGAAGCAAAAAGCATTTGCAGCGGAGCGGCCATGGTCCCTCGCGTCTTAGCTCATTCTATAGTATTAGAAAGCGTGGCCTAACAAACTGCCAGCACCTTGTCGTTCCGAGAAGGCGCTTCCCTCAACCCGACAAACATGCAACAACCCGCGGGAAAACGTCCAGTCTTGGGGGAACCAGAAAAAAAAACATGCAGAAACCCGAAGGACAACTGCCAAACACGGGGAAACGGGGAATCCGCCAAGCAAATCCGCCAAGCAAAAAGCATTTGCAGCCAGGCGGCCACGGTCCCTCGCGTCTTAGTTCGTTACTTATTCTTAGAACGCCTGGCCTAACAAACTGCAAGCACCTTCTCGTTCCGAGAAGGCGCTTCCCGTAATCCGCCAGGTCCTGCACCACGAGTGCGTCCCGCGCGTTCCCCCCCAGACCCCCCCCCTTTTACACAATGCCTCTGGCCAACAGACGTCCATCGCGCGACTCTTCGAGTCTTAGCGCGCTTCCCGTCATAAAACATACCCAACAAAGGCCCCCCAAATGCTCGAAAATAATCGAAACGTACCCATACAATTTTCTGGCTATTCCTGAACATTTCCCCCTGTGGAGGGGCAGGCCCGACTGAAACGTATCCCCAATCCTCGCCTTCTGGCTCTCGAGTCACAGCTAGGCCCGGGCACCCCCAGACTCGAATCGGCGAGGCGCAGCTGCTGGAGAGCACGCCGACACACGCAAACCTCCAGGAACTGACGAGAACCCTGCAAACCTCCAAGAGCACCTCCAGGAAAACCCTCAAGGCAACCGTCCGAACACATCGAAGACCCGTGCGGAGAAGGCGAGGTGCAGCGCGGCTTGGAGGGTGCCTCTATTGCGTAGAAATAAGCGTCTGGCCGCGGCTCGCAGTCCTCCACGGTGAGCGGCTCCATAAGTTCCTCGCGCTCCCACGCTCCTCCTCCTCCTCCTCCTGCTCCTCCTCATCATCCTCCTCTTCTCCTATTCTCCCTCCTTCTTCTCTTCCTCCCTCCTCCCTTCTCCCTTCCCCCCTCCCTCCCTCCAACCCTCCCTAACACCTCCTCCCTCCTCCTCCTCCTCTTCCTCCTCCTCCTCCTCGTCCTCCCTCCACCTCCGTTGTTTGCTTATCCTCCCTCCTTCCTCCTCCCTCCTCCCTCCTCTCCCTCCTCCTCCTCCTCCTCTCCCTCCTCCTCTCATCCTCCTCATCCTCCTCTCCTCCTCATCCTCCTCATCCTCCTCAGCCTCTTCATCATCATCATCATCATCATCATCATCATCACCATCATCATCATCATCATCATCATCATCATCATCATCAGCATCATCATCATCATCATCACAGCATCTCATCCTCCTCATCATCATCATCATCATCCTCATCATCATCATCATCATCAGCAACATCACATCAGCATCACATCCTCATCTCATCATCATCATCATCATCATCATCATCATCATCAAATCATCATCAATCATCATCAGCATCATCATCATCATCATCAGCATCAGCATCAGCATCAGCATCACATCATCATCATCATCATCATCATCATCATCATCATCATCATCATCATCATCATCATCATCATCGTCATCATCATCATCATCATCATCATCATCATCATCATCATCATCATCCTGCTCCGTACTGCTCCCTCCTGCTCCCTCCTGTACCTCCTCCCTGTTCCCTCCTCCTCATCTTCCTCCTCCTCCTCCTCCTCATCCTCCCTCCTCCTCCACCCTCTTCCCCCTCCACCTCCCCCTCTCCTCTTCTTCTGCCTCCTCCTTGTCTTCCTCATCCTCGCTCCTTTTCTCTTCCTCTCATCCTCTCTCCACCCTCCTCCGTCCCCCAACCCTCCCCCTCCGCCCTCCCCTCCCCTCCCCCTCCCCTCCTCCCCCTCCTCCTCCTCCTCCTCCCCTCCTCCACCTCCTCCTCCTCCTCCTCCTCCTCCTCCTCCTCCCTCCAACTTCCCCCCCTCCCTCCCTCCATCTCTCCTCCCCCTCCTCCTCCTCCTCCTCCTCTCCTCCTCCTCCTCATCCTCCTCCTCCTCCTAGTCTGCCCATCCCGCTCATCCTCGTCCTCGTCCTCCTCCTCCTCCTCCCTCATTCTTCCTCCCTCCTCGCTCTTCCCTCTCCCTCTTCCGCCCTGTTCCTACCTCCTCCCTTCTTCCTCCCTCTCCTCTTCCTCCTCCTCTCTCCTCCCTCCTTCTCTTCCTCAGCCTCCCTCCTCCTCGTCCTCCTCCTCCTGCTCCTACTCCGCCTGCCTCCACCTCCAGCATCCTCCCGCCACCTCCCTCCCTCCCGCCCCCTTCCCTCCCCCTTCCTCCTTCCTCCTCCCGACTCCTCCTCCTCTCCCCTCCTCCTCCGCTCATCCCAGCCCTCCGTCCACCTCCTCCTCCTCCTCCTGCTCCTCCTCCTCCTCCTCATCCTCCTCCTTTCCTCCTCCCTCCCCTCCTTTCCCTCCCTCCTTTCTTTCGCCTCCTCCTCTTCCTCCCCTCGCTCTCCCCCCTCCTCCCACCTCTCCTCCTCTCCTCCTCCTCCTTCCCCTCCTCCTCCTCCTCTCCTCCTCCTCTTCCTCTCCAACTCCTCCTCCTCCTCCTCCTCCTCCTCATCCTCCTTCCTCCCCCCTTCCACCACCCTCCCCTCACACCCTCAGCCTTCCTCCTCCTCTCCGCCTCCTCCTCCTCCTCTTCCTCCTGCTCCTTCTCCAACCCCCACCCTCCAGCCTTCCTCCTCCTCCTCCTCCTCCCCTCCACCTCCACCTCCACTCCACTCCACCTCCACCTCCACCTCCCCTCCTCCTCCCTCTCCTCCTCTCCTCCTCCTCCTCCTCCTCCTCCTCCTCCTCTCCTCCTTCTCTCCTCCTCCTCCTCCTCCTCTCTCCACCCTGCCTCTACTCTCCCACCCTCCCGACCTCCCCCCTCCCTCTCCCCTCCTCCAGAATTACACAATATGAGTACTACTCTCCTCTCTTCCCTGATGACGTCTGGAAGATGCCCACCCCCCCTCCGCGTAGTATATTCTTACACACAAGGTTACCGGGAACTGGGTCTTCGCTCTTCGCTTGTTTGTTCGAAATGTTGCTCCCGCTAAAGCGCTGGCCTCATTTTCGGGCTTCCGCTCGTTCCGAATCGTGCTCCCGCTGCAACGCTGACCTCACTTCCGCGCTTCCGCTCGTTCCGAATCGTGCTCCCGCTGCAGCGCTGGACGCCTTTACGTGCTTCCGCTCGTTCCGAATCGTATCGTGCTCCCGCCGCAGCGCTGGCGTCCCACGGCATGGTTTGCGGTCCTTCCAAATAGGCCCCCAAATCTAGAACATGCCCCCCCCCGAACAAAAACCACGAAAAGTGATTCCAAATTCTGTGTCGATTCGCTGATTTTTTGGACCGCAGGAGCCCCCCCGCTTTGGGGCGTCGCCACGCCATGCTATGTCATGCTACGTATTGATATTCACCGCCATGCTATGCCATGCTACGACGCCCAACTGTGCAAATAGAGAGGAGATCAATGCAATCGTGAGTGATGGGAGGGAGGGGTCGGACATCTGACATGAAGC